ACTATCTTCAACATACCTACTTTTACTTTACCTCTGCGAAACTTTGTGAAGCGGCTAGTAAAATCACGGATCTAACTTTAAATGGAAAAAAAGTCGAATGGATGGACTCCAAGAAAAAATTGTGCGCTATCTGCTCATCTGCTCACCATAACGCAACAAACTGTCCAAAACGTAAACACAATCCTAAAGATCGTAATATGCAACAACTTTATCAAAAGTTTCAATCGGCTCAATTCAACAATTATGTCACCTCCAAAAAACAATAACAAAGAGGCGCAGTAAGAGAAAACGTCACCTTCGTAGACACGTTAAAGAACAAGGAGAGAGACGACTGGCTTAAAGGCTCTACAACTAATCCCCCTTCACAGATCCCTTCCAATAACAAACATAAATCAACGTCCAAATCCTTGTCCTGAGCGGATGATATTCCTGAAGAAATGGATATTGAAGCAACCAACCCAACCTGGGTTTCTAAGCTGATCAGGGATTTCTCCAAAGGTACCGCTAAAAGAGGCTCCATGCATGATCAGGATTTCTAAAAACTCATCACCATGCAACTCGAGGCCATCACACAACAACTTACATTCCTAACCTCCAGCTTAGCCTTTTCGTAAGACAGGCTTAGTATCATTGAAAAAGCACTCGAAATCAAAGTCGTCACTCCTCAAGAAGCGGCTGAACACAATGATGCACTCCCCCCTGAATCATCACCTGCTGACGAAAAATATCCTCACATAGATGCTTCTAATTGCTCAACCCCCTTACAAAAAAAGACAAACGAGCAGCTCATCACTATCTGTCACCGCCAACAAAGACGTATATTCTCGTTCACCACAGCTATCAATAGTCTTTCCTCCACTTGTGCGGACTTCCAATAAATACTCCTAAATAAAGGTCTAATGAGCGAACATGATGTTAAATCTTTCACTCCTATCACCGATACCTTAGATAGAAACATAGAAAGCTGCCTTGGTAGCTCTCGCAATAACTTTATTTCATATAATGAACACTGTCTCTACCAATACAAACCTTGATACGAGTGTTATCACCCCCCAAAATAACTATCTACCAACTATAAACATTACATCACATAACGTTAGATCCTTTAACAACTCCGCCAAACAAAATTACTTAATATCCCTATACGAGTCACATGATCTTGATATCATCAGTCTCTAAGAAACAAACTCCAAATCCATCAATTCTTCCATTCTCAATCGATCTTTTCCAAATTTCATGACCTTTAATAGCACGTACCAGGAGAGCCAAACCAGCGGGTTTGGTATCAGCCCCTCTTTCAGCAAAAAACTTGCCAAACACATTTTCAAACACGATTCAAAATATGATCGTATTGTTTACACTAAATTACAATTTGCTGACAAACGAAAACTAATGGTTATCAATGTGTACTTTCCGCCTCACAATCCTGACTCAAAAACAATATGCAGATCAATGCAAACATACATAAACTCCCTCCTTGCAGAAGCAACCCGAGATAATTACCACATCATCCTACTTGAAGACTTCAATACTGATCTTGACCACTCACAGAACCCATAGCACACGATTCATTTTATAAACTCATTGTCGAGACACAATTTGTTTGATGTGTTCAGTATCGTCCACAATACTAACCGTTTATCCTTTCTGTTCTTTTTTCGGTCTAATACTTCATCATAAATTGATTATATATAGATGTTCTCGGAATTGACCTTGAATATCCTCACGTGCCAAACAGTACCTATAATACCCTCTGTCTCTGATCATTCAGTTGTAATGACTTCAATGTCTGACTTTTTGACCACTCCTTTGAATGACAGACGATGCCCTAGGAAAAGTTTCTTCGTTTACTCTCATATGGATGACCAGAAATGGGCCAAATTCGCTGCCAAAACTGATAATATTACCAAACACAGTTCTCTCAAAGACCTTTCCATTACAAAGCTCTGGACACAGTCCTCACTTAACAACTTATGGAACGTATTTCAAGAATCGATCATTGCAGCAGCCAAATCCTGCATACCTGTAAGCAAAACCAGAACAACCCGTTATAAAAAATGGCCTATAGGTCTTTCAACCACGTACAAGAACATTAAGACCCTACACAGATTCAACAAACTAACTCGAGCCTGTCTCAATAACATGACCAAGTGTTCAGAATGGTCATTCAAATATAAAGATTTTCTTGCTATTGCACAATCCAAAAATCTATACGTGACAGCTGTAAACATTAACCATTTTTTAGACCACATCAACTCTGTTTTTCCTGATATAAAATTGCTATTAGCAGGTCTTTATGTTGAAGCTAAATTCAAAGAATAGGAGTTCAAAACCAAAAGCATCCAAGAAGCGCTTCAAGCTCGTATCAATGACTACAATGCTGATCTTTTAAGAATAATCGACTCCATATTGAATAGGAAAAGAAAAATTATTGACCTTGATAGATACCTTGATAACTTCAAACATGATAAGCCGTTACTGACTAATAACATGGAAGTGAAAAATGAAGTCAATAGACACTTCCAACAAATCACAGAAACAACACACTGTTACAAAAGAATTTCAGAGGAATGGACATCCACATATCAACCAATTGCTGATATTGACCCTTCGATATATGACCAGCTAACCTCGTTCCCAACAGCTGATGAATGGTACAGGATTATAAACTGTCTGCCCAATGACAAAGCTCTGGGCCCCTTTTCCATATCCAATGAAATGCTTAAGCATTTAGGTCCACATAGTAGGAAATACCTTTGGTTAATTATTTGTGATTGCCTTCAAATCTCTTCAACTCTTACAAGATAGAACTTTGCCTATGTTTATCCGATTCCTAAACCTAAACCTTGGGAATTTGACCTTAACAATAGCCGACCGATCACACTCCTAGAATGCTTGAGAAAGACCTTTGTAAAACTACTTAATATCAGATTTGCATCAGTTTTTATACAACACAACATCTTGAAAGGATCAAACTTTGCTGGACTGCCTTTCAAATTCACTTTTGATCCCATACATATCATAGATAACATAAAACATAACGCCATCACAAATAAATCTAAACTTTGTGTCCTCCTATAAGATATGTCTAAAGCATATAACTATGTCAACGTTTTTACATTGGTCAAAGCAATGAAAAGGTTACGAATCCCCTTCGGCTATATCAACATCATTATGAAATTATTTATTCCTAGACTCAACAGAATCTTCACTGCTCATGGCAATACTGATCCCTATATTGTCCTCTCTGGCATCGATTAAGGAAAAGTCATTTTACCCCTGTTGTGGTGCATTTACTATGACCCATTACTCTGTAGAGTCCAGGAATTGACTCACAGATACAAAATGAGTTGCAACTGGCAACCTGATACCCGTTTATCCACTACACAATGCCTTTCAACAATGATTCTGGTTCTAGCATTCATGGATGATACTCTATGGATTGCCAAGTCTGCTGACGATCTGTCATCGATAATCAGCATTGCTAACAGTTTCTATTCCCTTAATGACATCCAAGTTAATTGGTCCAAATTAGAACTCTTAGTAAACAAGACTCAACTGGAGCCCTTTACCATTACCAATCTCAACGATATTCATCACATCACCGCACGTAAACCCAGTGAAAGTGTCAGGTATTTCGGAGTCTGGATCTCGTTGGCAGACAACAGAACATTCATCACCAACCAAATCCATGAAGAAATTAAATCTGCAATCACCATAATAAAAACAAAAAAATTAACGGACGCTCAACTTACATACATATTTAATATGGTCATTCTCCCACGCATTGAATACAAGTCGCAACTTACACTCCCTCTGGAAAAACATTGTGTTAGAATCATGGCCTCATATGTAGCTTTCCTCCGCTCTAAATTGCACCTTTCACAAAAAATGCCATTTTCACTTTTTCTGTCACATTATTTTTACAATATTACCCCTCTCTATCAAAGACATTCAAAATCTTAGCAGTGCCCTTTTGCAGATGGCCAATGAACCCAACTTGTTAGGCCTCACATTTAAAATTCGTGTCAGACAACTACAAATCTGGGAATGGTTGTACATCAATCCTCTAGTACGTTAGCCATACAATACCCAAAAGTCTAAAGATGACTGACTCCCAGCCCTGCTTAGTACTTTAAACAAACTGAACATCAACTTTAGCGTTCCGCTAAGCTCCAATAATTTTGTATCAGGAGGTACCACTCCAATATCAGTCCTCATCACGCCTATCTATAGAAATCACGTTCAGGATCTTAGAAAAATCTCAGTCCTCTATGTTGAACAACTAGTTAATTGTGTTGGTAATTACATGTTCTCCTACAAAGACCTTATCCAAATTACGCACTAACAAACTAGGTTTGTCAGAACCCCAAATGGTTTACTATCATGGAACAGTACTTACAACCATCACTAGATAGATTCATCACCAGAACATTCTCGCATAACTTAATGTATAGCTACACACTAAAATAACAACTTCTTATTCTGATTATAGATCATACGCTGTGGGCTGGATATTCAGTCTCAACAGTTTTGTCATTGGACACATTACCCATGCTGACCAAAATACTTTGCACCTCAGACATTATAATTTTGTAAAAGCAACCGATCATAGTACCAAATTGATCCCATGTCTCCGCTGTTCCCTGCACAATCAAAATGGACCTTTAACAAACAAATCACACTGCCGCGTCAGTATCCCTTATGTGTACTGTGCAGCTTTTCACAATATCTATTATGATAGTTCTAGTTCCACAGCGTTATCCGTTGGTGCCCTAAATGAACTAGCTTTGACTTGTGCAGTTGCGTCTTATCAGCCCCATATCTTAATTGTACTGCCCCCTGTCCCTCCCCCTAAATATAGCTCTTGTATAGATAGATTTATCCCTTCTTCCCAAAAAGAAGAACTACTAATAATTTCTTTTACCTTTGTTTCTGCTACTAAGTTAGAATTTTATACTGACGGTTCTCTTACAGACGTCGGTTTTCCTTCAATCAAAATGGGGATTGCTTGGTTACAATCTCACCAAAATTCGCCTATGGCTTTCTTTAGCACTGCTTTAGCCTCCAGCTTTCTCAATGGCGAATTGACAGGTACACCTTTCAATCCAAAAACGTTGTGATTCTTCATAAATGAAGTGCATAAGGGATGAACACGCAGCTAAAGCTGTGAGCATGTGTGTAAGGTTGTTATGAATGAATTCAAAGAGGGTAGTGAAAACAATGCCTTTAATGAGAACCACAAAGGAAAAGGATGTTGAGAGATTCAACCAATTAAGATTGTCAATATCGTGCATATGTGCATTGGTAATGTCTCTAAGGTAGTCTTTAACTCGTTAGATGAGCAGTTTCATTTGATAGTCGACCATCAGACAAGTCCATATATGGAAGAAGTCTTCATCTGCAACCTCACATCTAGAACACAAGGCTGAAGTCAGAAAAAGAGACGGATGTCTAATTTTCAGAATTTCAACTGTAGAGAGCATTTCCAGCAATCTTTGGAACTTTTTCATCCTTGTGGTGGAGGCTACATATGATGTATGATTGGTAGCTACATTATCATTAAGGCAGAAGGAGGTAACATACCAGTTGATTTTGAAGAATGGGTGATATTTGTTGACTACATGCAAGGATAAAATTTGCTAGAGATGCTTGTGCCGGAAGATTTCCTTTACAAATTGTCTTACCGGGAGGAGGATAGGTTGGTTGTTGTAATTAAAGAAGCTCTGTGGAGCAACCGTCATATTAAATTGCAAGACGAGAAGGGTGAGAGCGTCTTTTGCCATAGCGTTTATCTTGTTGTTCAAAAGATTGTTTGAATGCACTTTGACTTTTATTAAATTAACATCCAAGTTGTACTCAAAGATTACTTCGAAAAGATAAGACTAAAGCACAGAATTGTTGATTTTCAAAAAAGGTCTGAAAGTGGGAGACTGCTTCTTGAGAAAACTAAATTTGTTGAACTGTGATATGATAATAGCTGAGTCAGTACAGACTCTGACTTTGCAATTTGGAGGAGCAGTCAGGAGAGTTGTAAAAAGAGCTGCAAATTCAGGTATTGACGATGATGGAAAGCTGGAGGCCAAGACGATGCTAAAGAAAGCCATAGGCGAATTTTGGTGGGATTGTAACCAAGCAATTCCCATTTTGATTGAAGGAAGACTGACGTATTTAAAAGACCCGTCGGTATAAAATTCTAACTCAGTAGCAGAAACAAAAGTGGAGAAAAGTGTCAGTAATTTTTCTTTGTAGAGAGAAGGGATAAATCTATCTATACAAGAGTTATGTGTAGGAGGAGAAACAGGGGGTGGTACATTTAAAATATGGGGCTGATAGGATGCGATTGCACAAGTCAAAGCCAGTTCATTAAGAGTACTAACGGATAGCGCTGTAGAACTAGAATTGTTATAATAAATATTGTGAAAAGCTGCACAGTATGCACGAGGGATACTGACACAGCAGTATGGGCTATTTGTTGGAGGTACATTTTGATTGTGCAGGGAACAGCGGAAACATGGGATCAATTTAGTATTATGATCGGTGACTCTTTCAAAATTATAGTGTCTGAGATGCAAAGTATATTGGTCAGCGTAGGTGATGCATCCAATGATAAAATTGTTGAGATTGAATATCCAGCCCACTACATATGACCTATAACCAGGGGTGAGATGTTGTTGCTTCAGTATGTAGCCATACATAAATTTGTGCAGGAAAGATCTGGTGATGAATCTATGTGGTGATGGTTGTAAATACTGTTCTATGATGGTAAACCATTTGGGGGTTCTGACAAACCTTGTTTGTTGGTGCGTAATGTGGATAAGGTCTTTGTAGGAGAACATGTAATTACCAACACAATTGACTAGTTGTTCAGCATAGAGAACTAAGCATTTTCTAAGATCCAAGACGTGATTCCTATAGATAGGCGTTATAAGATCAGAAATCGGGATGGTGCCTTCAGATACCAGATTAGTTGAGCTTAATGGAATGCTAAGATTGATATTTAGTATGTTAAGGGTACTAAGCAGGGCCGGGAGCCAGTCATCTTTAGACCTCTGGGTATTGTATGGCCATCGTACAAGAGGATTGATGTGTAACCATTTCTGGGTTTGCAGTTGTCTGACACGAATTTTGAATGTGAGGCCTAACAAGTTGGGTGCATTGGCCATCTGCAGGAGGGCACTGCTAAGATTTTGTATAAGTCTTTGGTGAAGAGGGATAATGTTGTAAAAATAGTGTAACAGGAAAAGTGAAGATGGTGTTTTCCACGAAAAGTGCAATTTGGAACAGAGGAAAGCTACATATGACGTTATGATTCTATCACAATGTCTTTCTGAAGGGAGTGTAAGTTGCAACTTGTATTCAATGCGTGGGATAATAACCGTATTAAATATGTACGTAAGGTGAGCGTCTGTTAATCTTTTTGTTTGCATTATGATGATTGCAGATTTGATTTCTTCGTGGATCTGGTTGGTAATGAATGTTCTGTTGTCTATCAGCGAGATCCAGACTCTGAGATACCTGATACTTTCACTGGGTTTATGTGCGGTGATGTGATAGATGACATTGGGATTGTCAATGGCGAAGGGCTCTGACTGAGTCTTATTTACTAAGAGTTCTGACTTGGACCAATTAACCTGGATGTCGTTAAAGGAATAGAAACTGTTAGCAATTCTGACTATTGATGACAGATTGTCAGCAGACTTGGCAATCCATAGAGTATCGTCCATGAATGCTAAAACTGGAATCGTTGTTGAAAGGCATTGCGTAGTGGGTAAACGAGTATCAGGTTGCTAACTGCAACTCATTTTGTATCCGTGAGTCGACTTCTGGACTTTATAGAGTAATAGGTCGTAGTAAATACACTACAACAGGGGTGAGATGACTTCTCCTTGATCGATGCCAGAAAGGACAACGTAGGGATCAGTATTGCCATGAGACGTGAAGATTCTGTTGAGTCTAGGAATAAATAATTTCATAATGATGTTAATGTAGCTGAAAGGGATTCGTAGCCTTTCCATTGCTTTGACCAATGTAAAAACGTTGACGCAGTCATATACTTTAAACATGTCTTGTAGGAAGACCCAAAGTTCAGATTTATTTGTGATAGCGTTATGTTTTATGTTATCTAAGATATGTATGGGATCAAAAGTGGATTTGAAAGGCAGTCCAGCAAAGTTTGATCCTTTCAGGATGTTGTGTTATACGAAAATTGATGCAAGTCGGGTATTTATTAATTTTATAAAGGCTTTTCTCAGGCATTCCAGGAGTGTGATCGGTCGGGTGTTGTTAAGGTCAAATTCTCAAGGTTTAGGTTTGGGAATCGGATAAACGTAGGCAAAGTTCATCTCGTGAAAATTGAAAAAATTTGAAGGCAGCCACAAATAATAAACCAAAGGTATTTCCTATTATGTGGACTCAAATGTTTAAGCATTTCATTGGATATGGAGGATAGACCTGTAGCTTTGTCGTTGGGCAGACAGTCTATGATCCTGTACCATTCGTCAGCCGATGAGAACGAGGTAATCTGATCATATATCGATGGATCAATATCCTCAAGTAGTTGGTATATGGATTTCCATTTCTCTGGAATTCTTTTGTCACAGTGTGTCGTTCCTGCGATATGTTGAAAGTGTCTGTTGACTTCATTTTTCACTTCAGTTTCATTAGTCAGTAATGGCTTATCATGTTTAGAATTGTCCAGGCATTTATCAAGAGTAATAATTTTCCTTTTCCTATTTAATATGGAGTCGATCATATGTGAAGGATCGGCATTATAGTCATCAATACAAGCTTGGAGCGCTTCTTGGATGCTTTTAATCTTGAATTCCTGTTCTTTGAGTTTAGCTTCAACATAAAGACCTGCTAATAGTAATTTTATATCAGGAAAAACAGAGTTGATATGAGCTAAAGAATGGTTAATGTTTACAGCTGTCACGTGTAGATTATTGGACTGGGCAATAGCGAGAAAGTCTATGTATTTAGACTACCATTCTGGACACTTAGACGTGTCATTGAGACATCCTCGAGTTAATTTGTTGAATTTGTGTAAAGTCTTAATGTTCTTGTAAATGGTTGAGAGACCTATAGGCCATTTTTTATAATAGGTAGTTCTAGCTTTGCTGACAGGTATGTAGGATTTGGTCGCTGCAATGACCGATTCTTGAAATACATTTCACAAGCTGTTGAGTGAGGGCTGTGTCCAGAGCTTTGTAATGAAAAGGTTTTTGAGAGAACTGTGTCTGGTGATGTTGTCAGTTTTGGTAGCGAATTTGGCACATTTCTGGTCATCCATATAAAAATAATTGAAAAAACTTTTCCTAGGGCATCGTCTGTCATTCGTGAAAGTAGTCAAAAAATCAGATATTGAAGTCATTACAACTGAATGGTCAGAGACAGAGGGTATCATAGACACTGTTTGGCACGTGAGGGTGTTTAAGGTCAATTCTGAGGACATCCAAATATAATCGATCTGTGACGAATTATTAGGACGAAAAAGGAATGGAAAGGATGTACAGTTAGTATTGTGAACAATGCTAAAAATATCAAACAAATTATGTCTCGACAGTGAGTTCATAAAACGGATCGTATGTTGTAAGTTCTGTGTACGGTCAAGATCAGCGTTGAAATTACCAAGCAAGATGATATGGTAGTTATCTCAGGTTGCCTCTGCAAGGAGTGTATTTATATTAAAGATGGCGTTGCAACATTGTGACACTTATTTGTCACCTGTTGCAACTTAAATTTTAATAATGTTGCAATTTGTTGCAACATTGTGATGCTTATTTGTCACCTGTTGCAACTAATTGAGGCGCCATCTTTAGTTTATATATGTTTGCATTGTTTTGCATAATGCTTTTGAGCCAGGGTTAAGAGGCGGGAAGTAAATATTGATAACCAGTAGCTTTTGTTTGTCAGCGAATTGTAATTTAGTGTAGATAATACGATCGTATTTTGATTCGTGTTTAAAGACGTGTTTGGCAAATTTTTTACTAAAGGAAAGGTTGACACCAAACCCGCTAGTTTGGCTCTCCTGGTACGTGTTAGTGAAGGAACTGAAATTCGGAAAAGACCGATTGAGAATAGAAGAGCTACTGGATTTGAAGTTAGTTTCTTGGAGACTGATGATATCTAGGTCATATGACTCATATATAGATATTAAGTAATTTTGTTTGGCGGAGTTGTTGAAGGATCTAACTTTATGTGATGCAATATTTATAGTTGGTAGATAATTATTTTGAGTGGTGATAACATTTGTATCACAGTTTGTACTGGTAGAGACAGTGTTCATATTTTAAGATAGAGTTATTGCGGGAAGCTACCGAGGCAACTTTCAATGTTTCTATCTAGTGTATCAGTAATAGGAGTGAAGGATTTAGCATCATGCTCACTTATCAGACCTTTATTAAGGAGTATTTGTTGAAGTCCGCACACGTGGAGAAGAGACTATTGATAGCTGTAGTGAATGATGATATACATCTTTGTTAGCGATAACAGATTATGATAAGCTGTTCATTTATCTTTTTCTGCAAAGGGTTGTGCATTTCGAAGCATCAATATGAGGATATTTTTCGTCAGCTGGTGATGATTCCGGGGGAAGCGTATTATTGTGTTCAGCCGCATCCTAGGGATAATAACTTTGATTTCAAGTGCTTTTTCGATGACACTAAGTCTGTCTTATGAGAAGGCTAAATTAGAGGTTAATAATGTGAGTTGTTTCGTAATGGTCTCGAGTTGCGTGGTGACGAATTTTTGGAAGTCTTCGTCATGTATGAAGCCTCCTTTAATAGTACTGTTAGAAAGATCCTTGGTCAGCTTGGAT